CCACACTCCTGATGTACCAGAACCACCCCTGTAGCCTTGTGGCACAAGACCTAGGGGGACCTGCGTGGAAATGTCATGGCTAATTCTGAAATGGATTAAAGCACCTTTCAAGCTCAGTTAGTAAGTGATGTCTCTCCGGGATTAAAAGGGGGAGCAAGCGGTAACTGCAAGGTTCGACTCGGCCCCTAATTCATTAGGTAGTCCTAGCGCAGATACGCTGCCACACACACAAAGACAGCAGTACAGTGGTACCTCGGTTTGAGAGCAGTCCAGTTTAAGAACGACTTGGTTTACAAACTCCACAAAACCGGAAATAGTGTCTTGGTTTGAGAACTTTACCTCGCTCAAGGAACGGAAGCCGAACGGTGGAAAGGCACCGGCAGCAGGAGGCCTCATTAGGGAAAACGCGCCTCGGTTTAAGAACTGTTTTGGTTTAAGAATGGATTTATGGAACAGATTAAGTTTGTAAACCAAGGTACCACTGTACATCGCTCTCGCTCAGCTTCAATTTCACCATCTTCAGCATTAGAGATCAGAACATCCACTCACTTTACAGCAGATAAAAGGTAAAGGGACCCCTGACCATTAGGTCCAGTCGTGGCCGACTCTGGGGTTGCGGCGCTCATCTCGCTCTATAGGCCAAGGGAGCCGGCGTACAGCTTCCAGGTCATGTGGCCAGCATGACTAAGCCGCTTCTGGCGAACCAGAACAGCACACGGAAACACCGTTTACCTTCCCGCCGGAGCAGTACCTATTTATCTACTTGCACTTTGACGTGCTTTCAAACTGCTAGGTTGGCAGGAGCAGGGACCGAGCAACGGGAGCTTCTGTTTGGCAAGTCCTAGGTTCTGTGGTTTAACCCACAGCGCCACCCGTGTCCTTTTACAGCAGATAAGAACACTTTATACAGATGTTGTTGGACCACAACTCCCATCATGCCTGTCTACTGGAGATCCTGGCTGGGTCTGATGGGATTCGGACTTCAACAACAGCTAGACTAGAGAACCACAGCCCTGCTTTGCAAGGTTGTCGTGAGGGTTGCAACTGGATAACATGCATGAAGCACTTTGAACAGTCGGAATAATTATTGCATTCCGTCTCCATCACGGAGTCCCTTGGGCAAGCCTCGGTTTCCCTTCCGCGGTGTGCAACCCCCTCAGGCCTTTTTTTGACACAGAAACCCATCCTTTTAATCCCAGATGTATTCTTTCGCAGGACTGTAGCACTGGAAGGTGCATCGCCATTCTAAGCCCCTGCAATGCAGGAATCGTGGCTTTAAAAATCCCTGACGGATGTTCAAAAACCTCCGTTCAAAAACCTCCGAGAAAGGAGAGTCTTCCACCTTCTGAGGGAATCCATGCCGCTGATGATCCGCTCTTACCATCAGAAAGTTCTTCTTGATGTTTGGTCGGAATCGCCTTCCTTGCCATTTGGCTCCACTTGGCTTGTGTCCTACCCTCCGAAGCAGGAGAAAATAAGCTTGTTCCATCTTCCATGGCACAGCCCTTCAGATCTTTGAAGATAGCTATTCCATCCCATCATCCAGGCTAAGCATAGCCAACACCCTCATCTGTTCTTTAATGTTATACACCCCACTTTTCTTCCATTGGTAGATGGAAGATGGCATACACCTTCCGTGGGGGTTAATTCCCAACTGGCCTCTCATTCAGACAATGACCACCCCATCTGCTTAGCTTCAGGAAGGCCTCTGCACTACAGTGGTACCTCGGGTTAAGTACTTAATTCGTTCCGGAGGTCCGTTCTTAACCTGAAACTGTTCTTAACCTGAAGCACCACTTTAGCTAATGGGGCCTCCTTCTGCCGCCGCACCACCGGAGCACGATTTCTGTTCTCATCCTGAAGCAAAGTTCTTAACCCGAGGTACCTTTTCTGGGTTAGCGGAGTCTGTAACCTGAAGCGTATGTAACCTGAAGCGTATGAACCCGAGGTACCCCTGTACACACATTCAGGACCACCCTCTGTGACATGGGCTGTGGTTCCTCCACGGGTGAGAGGAAAACACCCTCTGTACATCAGGCTTGGCCAGACTTGGCCCTCCTGATGCTTTCGGACTACAATTCCCATCATCCCTGACCACTGTTAGCTAGGGATAATGGGAGTTGTAGTCCCAAAACATCTGGAGGGCCGAGTTTGGCCATGGTCAGGTGCATCCCAGGAACAAACTCCGGAATCCAGAGCAGGGCGCACAGCCAAGCGCATCCCCTAGCTAAGCCTTGCTGCTCCGCTGTTGGAAAGACCACTGCCGTATAACTGCTGCAGACTCCCATGACAAAAAGCCAGGCTCATCGACAGCCTTTTGCACGGTTGCCAACGAGCAGGCGGGGGAGTGTTTCAAAATCTAGAGCTTGGTCCGGAAGATCAGGACCAGAATTGACAGCTACTGCAATGAGCTTCTTGCTCTCCATGTATGTGCACATACAGCTTATGACTCACCAGAGGATATGGTCCACAGAGCAAAAAAACCAAAAACCCCACAGGTGTGATTCTCAGATGCAGCAGCAGGGCGACAAAGTGGGTCACATGTCATCGTTACGCAGACACATCTTCCATGCAGGGCAGGAGCCAGGAGCCTTTCCTCTGTCACCTGGGGACAGGTGCATTTGTTGGGGACCCAAAATTGGAGCAGAGCCACAGCAAAGGGGGTCAAGGGAATCTCACAAAAAATCTTTCATGTTAGGGTTAAAGACCAGCATCACATAGAACACATTGTCCAAAAGTGTGTCGTAGGATAAAATAAGAATAAAGTCAGGATACTAGGAAGGGCATTGAAGAGGAGGACAACCGAAAGGATCGAGGGCCTGGAAACCAAGCCCTGGGAGGGATGGTTGGGGGAGCTGGGGGTGTTGAGCCTGGAGCCTGGAGAAGAGAAGGCTAAGAGGAGAAGGGCTGTCTCATGGAAGATGGAGCAAGCTTGCTTTCTGGTGCTCCGGAAGGAAGGACTTGAACCAGTGGCAAGAAAGGAGATTCCGACTAAACATCAGGAAGAATTTTCTGAAGGTGAGAGCTGTTTGACAGTGGAACGGGCTCCCTTGGGAGGTGGTGGACTCCCCTCCTTGGAGGCGTTTCATAAGATTGGGTGACCATCAGTCAGAGATGCTGTAGTTGAGATTCCTGCATTGCAGGGGGTTGGACTAGATGGCCATTGGGGTCCCTTCCAACTCGACTGTTCTGTGATTCATGAAAATAAGATAAAAGGCAGGGAAGGCTTTTTCCTCTCATTTGCAGGGGGCTTTCCCTTCCTTCCATTATTCCATCCATTTCCATTACCACCCAGCCCCCATTTCCCTCTCCTTCTCAGAGGTCCAAATTAAACTGATTGCTTGCAGAGGACTTTCCTCTCTTCCATTACTCTGTCCATTTGGGTTTAACACCATCACGACCCCCCATTTCCCAGGGTTCTGTTCTGCCTCCCATTTCCCATCTTCATGCAACTTGGCCAAGGCTCGGACCAGTTTCCCCGCCTAGCACAGAATATCTTTTCCAATATTCTTGCATTCCTTTTTTCTTTTCTTTTATGTATCTGTTAACTCTGCACGAATCCCGTTTAAATAGGAATGTGTCTTCTATCGCACACTCTCCCATGTTAATCATTTCTGCAGAACACAATGCGATGTACAGGAGTTCCCATCGGTTCATATTGGAGCTACGAGCACTAGAACGAAATATCCAAACCACATTGCACCTGGGGTGCATCCCGTTTCCAGCAGGGGCCAGTCAGGCAGCTTAGCCCTTTGTTCCCAGTAGACTACCCCTAAACAGGGAGGCTCCATCCTTAGGGGCTGAACCCCATTGACAGACCTCACCTCTGAGAGTTTGTCCAAGTCTTTACAAGAATTTCCTTGCTGGATCCTAGCAAATGCTCATCTAGCCCAGAATTCTGCGGCCACCAGTAGCAGCCAGATTAATACCTCCGTAGAGCCCAGAAGGCACACACACACACACCCTTCATTTATTTCTACATGCCCATTTGACAATACAGATGCACCTCCTTGGCCCCAGGCCACAGCCACCTCCTTCAGAAAGCACTCAGTCAAGGAAAGAGGGTGGACAGGGCTCCCGTATCATCAATAGAAGTGAGGTGGGCAGCTTGCTATTAAAGGTGCAAGAGCCCCGTTCTATTTTATACCTGGCCGTCCATCAGGAAGCTCCATCCCTCTCAAGGCACTGCAGATCCCAGCCTCCTTCATCGTCACCCCTCAAACATATTGCCACTCCAGGTGTACTTAGAATGAGATGTGGGCTTTTGCCCTTTCTCGGCTCCACAGCTCTGCGGGCCTGGGGATCAAAGATGAGCAGGGAGGAGTCTGCAAGCCCCAGTAAGTCTGCAGCAAAGCGGGGGCACCAGCCAAGACCACACACACCCTCCCGCTCATTTCGAGGGACGCAAAGCCAACCTTCCACAAGCTTTCCCAAAGCAAGAGAATTTGTGCTTTTTCCTTTCCCTGCATCCCATTCACGTACCAGAACTGTAGTTCCCCACGCCCAGCCCCCAGCCCCCTCGACAAACTACAGTTCCCAGGATTAATTCGGGAAGGTGATGCACGTTAAATGTATGGCAGACGCGCCCAGGGATTAGGGAGCCCTTTGCCGCCAGCTGCCACCTGAGACTTGGCTGGCTTTGTTGTAACAGGCCGACACTGTTCAGAAACCTGGCTTGAGACGCCAGACGCCTGCCAGGGAGCCCCCTCTCCTTTGGGGGGGGGTTTGAACTAGATGACCCTTGGGCCACCTCTTCCAACGCTGTGATTCTTTGCAGGATGCCGAGGTGAGGTTGCTGAGCTTTCCCACGGCGGGAACCATCCCGCAAGAAAGACCGTTCCCGTGTTTTCCAGCAGGAGGCGGGTTGGGGAAGAAACGTGGGGATGCCCCTGCCTGCAACCCGCGCCCAGGTACCTCCCAAGCGCCTAGCGGCGTCGCCCGACCCGTGACACCCAACCGGCCAGCCAGCCAGCCCAAACAGGCGGGCGAGAGCGGCTTACCGTCAAGGCTCTCCTTGCGCAGCGGATCTGCGGCAGCGGTTCTGACCGAGGGAGGGAGGAAAAAAGAAAGTCCTCGCTGGCTGGCGCGCTTGTTCCTCGCTCCCTGCTGAGCCGAACGCGGAGATCAAAGGGAACCCGGAGCAAGGCGAGCGGGGGAGAGGTGACGTCGCCCGGGGGAGACGCCCGTGCGCAGCCGAAAGGGAGAGTGCATGCCCTGCGCGCGCCTCGCCGTCCAGCTGTGGCGCGAGCCCTCGCCTTCCCCGCATGCGCGAGCCGCCCGGACTAGTCGCAAGAGGCACATCAATCGCAAGCCCTGCCCCGCCTGCCAGGCGAGGCTCCCGCTGCGCAGAGCTTGGGGGGGGGGAGAGAGAAGGGGCGGGGGGGCGGAGGGACTGGCCAGCCGCGAGGGAGGGGGTAGGGAGGGAGCAGCTGGGCAGAAAAGGAGCCCGGGCCGGGTGCAAGGGAAACCACAATATACGCGCCGTTCCGACGTGACGGCCAACACCAGGTTCCTCACTCTGACGCGCAGGCGGACACGTACCTGCCAGGTATTCTTTAGTTTAGCTGCGATTCCTGCACGGCGGGGGGTTGGAGGGACTGGCCAGCCGCGTGGGAGGGGCTGGGGAGGGAGCAGATGGACCGGGTTCAAGGGAAACCACAATATACGCGCCGTTCCGACGTGACGGCCAACACGCAGGTTCCTCACTCTGACGCGCAGGCGGACACGTAAGCAGTTGCTGTCCTCCGCCGGAGGTTTCTAAGCAGAGGTCAAGCGGCTACTACCTGCCAGTGATGCGATTCCTGCGCGGCGGGGGGTTGGACTAGATGACCCATGGGGTCCCTTCCAGCTCTACAATTCTGGGATTCTAATTCTGGGGTTCTAAGTGCACGGTGTTCACAAACAGCCGCTGGGCTCTTCCCTCGCGAAGGTTTTTTTTAATGGATCAAACCACATTTCAGCTTTCCGCAGGACGGCAGGTTTGGGGAGGGGAGAGCGAAAGCAGAGGCTGTAGCTCAGGGAGGGGGAACATTTTCCTTAAATGCGGAAAGTGCCTGGTCCAGTCCCTGATGGCGACCCCAGCCTGAAATTCCGGAGAGCTTCTGGCAGTCACTGTGTAGACAATACTGCGCTAGCTGGACCAATAGTCCGACTCAGTGCATTATATATATATCCTTAAAGATCGTCCCAATGTGTCTCCGAAACCCCATCCCTCATTTCTGCTAACTGTGAAGCCTCCTTGGATATATATGGCTTCACAACATATATTTTGCAAAATCTTGGGGAACGTTCCGCCCAAATTCTCAGGCAAATTCTGTCTAAACTTAGACGGCGTCCCCGCCCACAATCTTCTCTCTTGCAACGCTTTCATCCTCCGCCACCCCCAGGTCTCCTGCTGTCCCGCTGTCCCCACCCCTAGGCTGCAGGCACCCGCTGTTAACTCCTCAATCCTCCTTCCCTGCTCTCCAACTGCATTTTCTTGCATTCATCCCGTTTCTCTTGTCTGCGTGGGGCTTGATCCGGAACCCGCAGTTAGTGGAGAGTGCTGCAGCACGATTGCTGACAGTACAGTGGTACCTGGGGTTAAGAACTTAATTCGTTCCGGAGGTCCGTTCTTAACCTGAAACTGTTCTTAACCTGAAGCACCACTTTAGCTAATGGGGCCGCCTGCTGCTGCCGCGCCACCGGAGCACGATTTCTGTTCTCATCCTGAAGCAAAGTTCTTAACCCGAGGTGCTATTTCTGGGTTAGCGGAGTCTGTAACCTGAAGCATATGTAACCTGAAGCGTATGTAACCCAAGGTACCACTGTATAACACCTGTGCTCAGGAAGCTTGCACAGTTTGGCTGTTTGCTGCCTGGCAGATTCACAGTTCAGCTTGGGACCAGTTTACCTGTGAGATCAAAACACCCCATAGATGCCCACTGAATTGCTTGGATCAGTGGAACCAGCGCTGTTGCAGATGCCACATAGCACCCATTCCACTTTTGAAAGAAATTGATCTTTTGTGCTCTTTGGAACTCCCTGCCAATTGACATCTGGCAGGGACGCGGGTGGCGCTGTGGGTTAAACCACAGAGACTAGGACTTGCTGATCAGAAGGTCGGCGGTTCGAATCCCTGCAATGGGGTGAGCTCCCGTTGCTCAGTCCCTGCTCCTGCCAACTTAGCAGTTCGAAAGCACATCAAAGTGCAAGTAGATAAATAGGTACCGCTGTGGTGGGAAGGTAAACGGCGTTTCCGTGCGCTGCTCTGGTTCACCAGAAGCAGCTTAGTCATGCTGGCCACATGACCCAGAAGCTGTACGCCGGTCCCTCGGCCAATAAAGCGAGATGAGCGCTGCAACCCCAGAATTGGTCACGACTGGACCTAATGGTCAGGGGTCCCTTTACCTTTACCTTTTAGGCACCTTCACTATCTATTCCCCCCCACCAGCGCCTACTAAAAAAATTTTTTGTTCACATAAGGCTACCCAGATATGCAGAATGTTGCCGTATCTTAATCAGCTTTTAGCTTATCACTTATTTTAATTATTTTTAAAAAATATTTAGTTGTTTTTAACCAGTGTGTGTGTGTGTGTGTGTGTGTGTGTGTTGTGAACCATATTGAGGTTTTCCCCTTTTTTTACAATCAGATAGGGTGTTTGTACAGCAGCCATGAAACTTTGTGGTCCCGATTTTAGGGATAGAAAACAGCCCCTTAAAAAAAAAAAGTGGGACTTTGTTGCAGAGGGAATGACAACTGCTGCTGCTTCTCCCCCTTTTGAATTCAAACACCTGCCAGTTTTCACTGCAAACTCCTGTTTAATGTTTAGAAATCAATACGAGAGAAACAGAAGCAAGTAAGGGAATGTTAGCTGCATGGGGACAGAAACCGAATGGCCAAGTGTTACAGCGACAGGCAGTGTGGGGGGGGGCGCTTTGAGACTGACACCCTCTGGCTTCTGAACTGTGGTGCGACCAGCTAACTTTAGACCAGGGGTCAGCAAACTTCTTCAGCAGTGGGCCAGTCCACTGTCCTCAGACCTTGTGGGGGGCCGGACTATATTTTGGGGGGTAACATGAACAAAATCCTATGCCCCACAAATAACCCAGAGATGCATTTTAAATAAAAGCACACGTTCTACTCATGTAAAAACACCAGGCAGGCCCCACAAATAACCCAGAGATGCATTTTAAATAAAAGGACACATTCTACTCATGTAAAAACATGCTGATTCCCGGACCGTCCGCGGGCCGGATTGAGAAGGCGATTGGGCCACATCCGGCCCACGGGCCTTAGGTTGCCTTTAGACCCTGGGCTCAATAGGTTCACAACGATGCCCCTTTAAATAGCTTGGGGGGGGGTTAAGGAAAAACTGCAACAATTTGTTGCAGACTCACCTGCAAAGTCATGGGCCAAGCCAGGAATCCAAGACCAAAGGATAAGAGGACAAACTAGGAGGCAGGACGACAGCAGAGTCCAGGGAGACCCTTTGGGGTCCTCACATCTCTATGGAACGGTTGCAGTGTTTGGGGTTTTTCAGTTTAGAGAAAAGGCGAGTGAGAAGCGAAATGGCAGAAGTATATAAAACAATGCCTGGCACGGAGAAACGTTTTTCTCCCTCTCTCCTAACGCTTAGGACTCATGGAGACTGAACGTCGGAAGATTCAGGAGAGAGAAAAGAAAAGACTTCTTCCTGCTGCGCTTAGTTAAACTGCGGAACTCCCTCCCACTGGATGCAGGGAACCTAAATGGCTTTAAAAGAGGACTGGGGAAATTCACGGAGGAGGAGAGGGCTCTTGATGGCAACTAGCCATGATGGCTAGGCTGTGCCCCCAGTATTAGAGGCAGCAATGCTTTCAAACTCCAAATTGCTGGGCGCCACAGGAGGGGAGAAGGAGACCTGTGCTGCTCAGGTCCTGTTTGCAGTTTTCCCACTGAGGCATCTGCTTGTCCCCAGTGAGAACAGGATCCTGGACTTGGATGGACTGCTTGAAGTTGTGATAGGAATTTTGAGGTCTTAAAGGTAAAGGTAAAGGTACCCCTGCCCGTACGGGCCAGTCTTGCCAGACTCTAGGGTTGTGCGCTCATCACACTCAAGAGGCCGGGAGCCAGTGCTGTCCGCAGACACTTCTGGGTCATGTGGCCAGCGTGACAAGCTGCATCTGGCGAGCCAACACAGCACACGGAACGCCGTTTACCTTCCCGCTTGGTAAGCAGTCCCTATTTATCTACTTGCACCCAGGGGTGCTTTTGAACTGCTAGGTTGGCAGGCGCTGGGACCGAGCAACGGGAGCGCACCCCGCCGCGGAGATTTGAACCGCCGACCATGCGATTGGCAAGTCCTAGACGCTGAGGTTTAACCCACAGCGCCACCCGCGTCCCTCATTTGAGGTCTTAGATATATGTTAAATGTTCATAAGTGTACCAACCAAGCACGTAAGTAGATCAGCACAGCAAGCGACCTGAAACCATTTTGATTCCCAAACTGACCAAACGTTTTCTCTGCAAGGTCAAAGGAAAATGGAAAAGCCTCCCCATTGTCTTCTCCTTCACAAATCCTGTCTTAAGGGCACATTTAAGATATGAATAGGGTGTGAGCCTGTGACTTGGCTCAGGAACTAAGTACAGTGGTACCTCGGGTTAAGTACTTACCGTAATTCGTTCTGGAGGTCTGTTCTTAACCTGAAACAGTTCTTAACCTGAAGCACCACTTTAGCTAATGGGGCCTCTTGCTGCCACCGCGCCACCGGAGCACAATTTCTGTTCTCATCCTGAAGCAAAATTCTTAACCCGAGGTACTATTTCTGGGTTAGCGGAGTCTGTAACCAGAAGTGCATGTAACCCAAGGTACTGCTGTATTTATCATTACAAAAGACTGGCCAGGCTCCCCAGGCAATCCAATCAAGTGACCATTAAACAGGTCACCTGGCAGACAGGAGGTAAACAAAGCACTCAGATTTCTGCTGTAGACCGCCCTTTCTGTGATGTAGGTAAGATGTGTCTGCGGGGATGGTCTTGAGCTACACCCCTTCTGTGATGTATGTATGATGTTTCTGGGGATGGCCTTGGGCTCCAGGGAGGGAATTCAAAAGTCTATATATAAGGCCTTGCACACCATTGTTCTGGGTTCCTCCTCCTCTCCTGCGGGTGCGGGGAGCACCCTGTTGCAACAGATCAATAAAGATCAGGCTTACTAGCTGCTTTGCTTCTCAATATTCTCTGCTTGGCCTCTGTTATTTTCTCCTACCAATAGGGAACCTACGCAAGGACTCTATATGGGCTCTTGGATACCCCATAAGGGAAAAGGGCAGATTTTTGTTTATAACAAAGTACCCAC